TAACGGTTTTTACCACAAAAACCCCTTTAAAAAGACCAAGGGGTTACAACCAAACCACAAAAATAAAAAGGCAACAAAGGTATTCAAACTTTTCACTGAGAACTTGAAGGAACTGAAACAAGGACATCAACAGCAGCGGGCGGCTCAGCTTGACTCGAAGGAGTGGGGATACCCGTATCATCTTCAACTTGTTCAGAAATTTCAGCCACGGGAGAGGGAAATCTTGGTTCTGCTGAGTCTTCTCGAGAGCCTCTTTGATCTTGGCTAACTCAGATTCTAAGTTAAAATTCTCCTGGCTAACTTGAACGAGGGTATCATGGCGAGAATTTAAAAATGCCCAACTCACTTCAATGGCAGATTTTTCTTCAAGGATCTCATAGTCTCTTTCCCAATTAGCAACTTCATTTCTTAATTTTTCATTTTCAGCTAAGGCAGATTCCTGAGAAGCTTGGAGAGCAGCTTGAGAACTCTCTAAAAAGCGAACCTTATCAGAAGATTCCCGGAGGTCTTCTTGAGTTTGTGTCAGTGTTTGCACAAGTTCTCCAGCATATACTTCTTTCTCAGCCAAGAGAGCCTTCAACCCTCTAATCTCCTTACTAGCCTTGGAAAGTTGCTCAGAAAAAGAGGTTTCAAGACGTAACTTTTCTTTACTTGCTTGACTTAAAGAAGCTTTTACAACTGCCAGCTCTGAAGTCAAGACCCTGCTGCTCCAAGGTACTTCTACTTTCTTCTAAGGTTTCCACATCAATTTGAAGACTGTCACACTGTCCCTTCCAATTATCCGCCTCTGATAGTCACGCATTAATTGCTCTAAAAGGGTAACTCTTTTCATCATCTCTGTGCTAATTAAATTAACCTAAAATAAAAGGGAAGATGAGAATCCTGAAAATAGGAGAAGGATAAAATAAAGTTTGAAAAAAGGAGTACCTTTAAAGAAGCATGCACTATGTCATTCATCAAGGTCAAAGAACTGTGACTCTCAAGCTTAGCCTTTTCGACTGGACCAATCAAAGGCTTTAGCCACATATCTGCTTGACTTGATTTCCTTAAAAGGTCACCCTCAGCAGGGACTTCAATGGTGACTTGCTTCATAACAATATCTCCACTTGAGGAACCAACTTCAGTATGATGAACAGGTGGAGGAGGAATCGTTAAAGGAGGAACAGTGGAAGTAATCGTTGAAGGAGGAACAGTGGAAGTGGTAAAAACAGCCTGGGGAGGAACAGAAACAGCCATGATTGGCAAAGAAGAAGTCACGGGAAGGGAAGTGGCAAAAGAAGCCAGGGGTGCTTCATCAGAAACCGGACCAAAATCTTCACTACCAAACCCGCGATCAAAAAGCTACTCAACAGAATCATGAGCAGCAGCGGGAACATCATCAACATCATCATCAGGGATCACCACTGGGGCTTCAATAGACTCGGTGAGAGGAATAGAATGGCGGGGGGATGCTTTATCATCAGAGATAATACGTCTACGAGCCCGCGGCCTCGTTATCAATGAACCCTCATCTTCCTCCTCTTCAGAGTCTTGGCTATCAACGGCTTTTCTTTTCGATGAAGAACCCAAAATTATTTCCTGGGCCTTTTCCAAAGAGATACGAGAGCCGCGATCGCCTCGGCAGTAATCCCTCGAATTGCAAATCCTGATAAAAAGAAGGATTAAAATAAGTTCAAAGAAAAAAGCAATATGTGAAATTAAAAAAAAAACTCTTACCGTGAGTTTTTACTTTCCAACCAAATCATTGGGAAAGAGCCTTCCAAGACCTTTCCTCCATTGGGGCAGCATTCAACATTTTTCCTACCCAAACACGAAAATTGGGAATATCATCCACAATTCCCATGGTTGCTGAAAAGGAAAAGGAAAATTAAAATAAATAGTCATGAAAATTAAAGGGAAAAAAGGTACGAGAAAATTACTCACGTGAAAAATTCCACTTTTCGGGAAAGGGAACGTTTTCCTCACCCACCAAACCAACGGTGGGGGCAGCAACAAATCGGTCATACCAGCCACGGTCTCTGTCATCCTCTGGACTAACCAGAACTCTTTTGCTCCTAGCTACTAAAGTGAAGACGCCATTGCGAAAAAGTCTGGGGGAGTAAAGATGAATTAGATGGGAGAAAGTGAAAGGCACACCGGCCACATTGCTCAAATGCCTCAAACAGAAAACAACCCTCCATACAATAGGGCCTGTCTGACCTAAACATACGTCGAAAAAATGACAGAATTCTAGGATGACAGGGTCAATAGCAGGTTTGAATCCCAAGGTAAAAGGATATGTATAAACAAAGGAAAATCCCATCAAATGAGAGGTGATTCTTTGGTTTGCATTAGGGATTATGATGGGAAAATCCTGACTCCAATGACAGTCTTTACGAACTAAAGGAATCAGACCTTCAATGATCTGAGTTGGGTAAATATCAGCATGATCTAAGGAAGATACTTGGTTTCTAAGAGACTCTCTATCATTATAGGAAAATTCCGTAGGAATTATCTCCTCTACTAGAGGTTCACGAAGAGGCTCAGAGGACTCCTTACCTCTAGAGGAAGATCTATGTGAAACAGAACCTCTGGTTCTAGAAGAAGGGCCAGAACTGGATGAAGACCCTAAATTACGTAGTCTACCATCCCCTCTTCTACTCATATTAGGAGTAGAAGGAAAGTTGTCAACTATGGAGACTTTCCTAGGGTTAGGGTTTGGCGAAGCCATGGCAGTACGAGGAAGGTAAAGAACAAGAATTGAATATTCTAAGAGTTTTACGAGGAAGATGGAAACAAGAATTGAATATTCTGAAAGCTTTATGAAGAAAAGACAAAGGCACAAAACTAAATTTATACTGGGAAGGCAACCGTCAAAGGAAAAGGTACAATGATGGAAAGGTCATAATGAGAACTGTCGCTTCGTGATTACTGAAGCCGTAAAAACGCCATAAAAGGCGCTACCAAGTTGCAGAGCCAATAAGAGAGTGCCACATGTAACGAGCATTAAATGGAAGTGACAATTGAAGCATCGATTCTATCATAGCATTATGGCGGTAAATATTCCCGCTTCAATAAAATCCACTTCCCAAATATTCAATTGATGAATAAATGGCAAGTGGGGGGACTATCTGTATTGGGTAAAATTGAGTTTATGCATATCGAAGTGATGGAAAGATGACATGCCATGACATGTAGGCAGGTCAAAGAATGGTGATTAAGCAAAGAGGCACGAGTTGCAACAGATACGAGCGGAAGCACAAGAAGAGGCACGAGCAAATATTCAAAAGACTCGTTGCTCGTACCTATTTAAGTCTAAAAGCTAAGAAGAATGAACCTGACGACACAGGAGAGCCCAGATACAGTATTTAATAAGCATTAGATACTGAAAACGTTAGAGGATCTGTATTAAATTGCAATGATTATGTAACGTAGCATTTAATGCCTTTAATCGTCCATAATGACCTTATTATGATAAAGGCAAAACGTATAACTTAAAAATAGCTATAAAAGGGAGAAGACTGATCATTTGTAGACACACAATATCATCTGAATATACTGGTTTACTTTGTTTTCTGCTATCTATCGGTTATCAAAATCCATTTCTTTTATTCATTTCCGATTATCAGTAACCCGAGTTCTTCTAAAAATAAAGCTTTGACTGAAATCCCATTTTTCGGTTAAACAAGTACATAATTGTTAAACTAGAAAATTAATACCTTTCGTACTATATTATATGTTTTAGTGCACAAGGACTACTATTTTCATCCATTTTACATGTCCCCGTTAGCACCTAATCAACAGGAAATTTTGGAAGGAAGCGATAATAACTCTAACCGTTCCCTCACCTCCGACAAAAAGAAGAAAATAAAATAATAGTAAAGTTCAAAATAATTTAAAAAACAGAATTCAAACACTCGAAGATTGTATACTTAAAAGCGAGAAATGGTCTCTATATAAAGCAACAACTATAGCGAGTTCACTGCACTAAGATCCTATACAAATTTATTTCTTTTTTCGTTATCTCATGGCTGCCTTTACCAAGCATTTCTCTTTCATCTTCCTCCTTCTTAACCTCATTTCTTCATTGCAAATCCATGCAAGAGAAAGTCAATTCATTAATAAAATCTCCAGCAACAACAATGCTGAAAAAAAGACACAAGTAGTTATTCTCAACAAAGAACAAGAATCAAACTTCTTGCCTGAAACTGAAAATAATGGATATGGCCTATATGGTCATGAGTCTGGTGAACTTCCTCTTACCACTACCAGTCTACCACTACTAATAATGTAGAAAAACCCCACAAAGAAATTAATCCCACCACCACCTTAACTAATAATATTCACAATAGCAAATACCATTCTAAGACTTATGACCATGTGGCCTCGGTCACAGTCCAAAAGAATGACAACAACAACAATAACGATGAAAAGTACATGAATACTGGTAGTACTAACAATAACAACGAGGAGTATCACAATGAGAATAGCACTTACTACATCAACAAGGAGTACTACAATGGTGGCAGTACTAACAACAACGAGGGGTACTTCAATGGTGGCAGTACTAAGAATAACAACAATAACAACGAGGAGCATTACAATGAGGGTAACACTTATTATAACAACAATAACAATGAGTACTACAATGGTGGCACTACTAGCAACAACAGCAATAACAACGAGGAGTATCACAATATAGGTAGCATTCAGGGGCGGATTTACGCTTACCGAAGCGGTGTCACGCGACACCGCTTCGTCGGAAAATTTTACTAAATATATGTATTTATACTGTACGGAAACAGATAAGTAGGAAAAAATGACACCACTTGACATAAATTGTGTCTTGGTGTGTTGGTAATGTGCTTGATTTTTCTCTATGAGGTCAAAGGTTCAAACCTCAACTAGCACATTTTTCTTTTGCAAATACTCAGGACCTTTTGTAACTTAAGACTCAACAAAATCAATAGACTAAGGTTATTTCTTGTCTAAAGGTATGATAATCAAAGTTATATTTCAATTCTTTTATAAATTTCGATACCGCTTACAAAACTTTCTGCGTACGCCTCTGGTAGCATTTACTACAACAACAAGGAGTACTACCATGGTGGCAGTATTAACAACAACAACAACGAGGGGTACTTCAATGGTGGCAATACTAACAACAACAACAACAACAATGATGAGTATCACAATAGGGGTAAAACTTACTATAACAACAATAATAAGGAGTACTATAATGTTGGAAGTACTAGCAACAACAACAATAACAACGAGGAGTATCACAATGGGTAGCTCTTACTACTACTACTACTACTACTATAACAACAACAACAACAACAAGGAGTACTACAACAGTGGCATTACTAACAACAAAAACAACAACAACGATGGGTACTTCAATGGTGGTAGTACTAACAACAACAATTACAACAACAACGAGGAGTATCATAATGAGGGTAATACTTACTATAGCAACAATAATGAGGAGTATTACAATGGTGGCAGTACTAGCAACAACAACACTAACAACGAGGAGTATCACAATGGAGGTAGCACTTACTACAGCAACAACAACAACAAGGAGTACCACAATGGTGGCAATACTAACAACAACAACAACGAGGAGTACTTCAACGAGGGGTTCTTTGAAAATGGAAAATACTTTGATTGTGTAAACACTGAGAAATACGTCAAAGATCCCTAAGAAAATACAAGAGAATTCGCAACAAATAACAATGAATTCAAGAATAACTTTGTGTGGACCACGCAGAACGAAGAGAAGTTCCAACTTTTGTGAATAGTTAAAACAAAGCTAAAGTGAATAAAATCATGCTATGTAAGTTCCAATAATCATTGGACTTGTCTTTTCGTTTTTATATCTGAAGTTATGTTTTATAGAAAAATATTACTCCAATAATTAAATAAAGATGTATTTTTGACTATAGCTCTTGCTTTCCATATTTAATTTCACTCAAAACCACCGATGTATAGCTATTAGTCTATGATTTTGTACTTTTATTTGCCAAAATGAACTCATGTTATATTCACTACGGCTTAGGATCGATGATCCCAGGGTGTTTTAGTACTAATAGAAGGTAATAGACACCCGTAAAATTAGTTGACGGTGCATATATTGATCCGAACAACAAGGCTATAAAAAAATGATAATCCCCTGATGTTAAGCATAACAGGGAACAGTGGGAATACTTGTTGCCGTCACTTTTAAAAGCCATTATTAGTTGTAGAAAAAACTTTTATATAACATCATATAAAATTCGTTCTTCTCTTTTTTTCTTTTGTTGTTATTTCTGTTTTTAAAAAGTTCATTTTTATTTTGTACAAGTGATACAGATAGATTTAAGTTATATAAATTAATAGCTTATAAATTTTTACACAATCAGTACTGATACACAGAACCCACAAGAGCAATATAAGAGATATAACATGAAAAAGATAAACAAAAAATAAGCCGCGCCAGGTAGGGGTCGAACCTACGATTTCTGCTTAGGAAACAGACGCTCTATCCACTGAGCTACAGGCGCTTGATTGTTCTAACTCGCGCTCAAAAATAATCAAATTGGTTATTTACGTTTCCAGTACTATACCATTAACATACAATATTAAACGAAATAAATATATAGATTAACGGCTTTGTTCCCTGACTCAACATGATCACTTCATCACTTGGGTTATTCACATGCATAACATCATCCATTTGCACTTAGGATTGAAAATATATATGAGTTGGAAACCAATTAATGAAATATACCATATAAAATGCTTTAAAAATTAGCACCTAATCAGAAGCCATTTACTTGAAATATATTTGGTATACATGGATTTACATGTACGTACACTGACATGTACATACAGAACTTATACAATAACTATGCTAAGGAGAACCAATAAATACACTTGTTTATATACAAACATACATGAAGACAGTGACGGAATCACATGTATTTAAGGGGTACTCTCAATCGCTCTTTGGTATTCGGAAGTGGAAAGCGAACTGCTGGCTGTGGCCGAAAAGAGAGGTTCTGTCTTTCTTCATTCAAGTAAGAAAAAGATGGGACGCTCGCAGACCTATCGTTTTAACACTCAGAAAAAAAACCTAGAAAAGAGGAAGAGTCACTAAGACACAACCGATATCCCTAGCATCTATATATTGACACCCCTTTGGTTTCTTCATGGGTCTATTTCTTTTATCTGACAACCTTAGTGCAAATTCTGGCTTCGCCACTGTTAATCAAGAGAAACTAAATGATTATTTTCTTACTAGATTCATAAAAACTAATTTCGCTATTAACTAAGATAGCCAATAATTTGACTCAGAAATCTTGTAGAGCACATTATTTTTGGTGAATATCTCGTAACGCATTGTTAATAATATTGATGAACTTTTATGAAGGGGAGTCTTGGAGCGTAGGGGAGTCTTGGAGCGTAGGGCAGCCTTGAAACAACGATAAAGTTGTCTCCATGTGTTGGGTTTTTAAGTATATTAATGCTTAAAAGAGGGTGAATGGGAAATGGAGGAAAAATAAAATATTTGTGTCTCATTTGAGATTCCCTCCTTGATGAAGGGACATTGTCCCATATTGGAAGAGGAAGAGGTTTTTAATGGGTATATAAGCAATTGTTTTTCTTCTAGCTCTTAAAGAGTTGAGAAGAAGGCAAGCCTCGCGCCGCCGTCGTCGCTCGCTCGGCTTCGGCTTCGGTCAAATGATTGATTTAATTAATTTTTGGACCAAATTTGTTTGCTAATAGTAAATATTAACAGAAATGTTATTAAATATCCGTTTTAATAACAAAATATTAATATTAAATCCAAGAATATTAATATTAAAATCCAACCGTTTCCATTTTTCCGTTTCTGTTTTTGTAACAAAAAATAACTACCCTCTTCAATTTTCCCTCTTTATTGTTGAGTAAATAGCTATTTATGTTAGGCATTTATGCTATGGCCGTTTTGCATAAACAGTCATTCTGAAGAGTTGCACCTCTTCAGATTTCATCCCAACATTGGCTATAAATACAAGTTCATTCTCTCAGATTTTCCATGGGATTTTCTGAGTTTCTCCTCCTTCTTCTTCATTGTTTTAACTTCAAAGAAAGCAACAGTAAGTGTGATTTGCTACCGAACTTTGTGTTCGCTGAAACACTAGGTTTGAAGTACCACTATACCGGTGTGTAATTCGTTCTATCCTGGGAGAAAATAATCCATAACCTTGGGTACTAGGAGGGGATTAAATTCCTTAAGGAAACACTGTGAATTCAGTGGGCTCGGATTAACTTCTGTTTCGTTTATATTTCTGTTTATGTTATTTTATTTTTTCCAGAATTATTTTACAACTACAGTTTACTAACACCATGCACTACAAGAAAACATAGCTACAACGACATTTAATCAATGACATATATAATAAATGACGGAAAAAGACCAATTTTGTGACATTTTTTAAGAAATATCATAAAATGAGTGACATTTAATAAGAAATGACAGAACTATTGAGACATTTAAGTAAAAATGTCACATATTCGTGAGTATTTACTGTCATTTACGCTAATGAAGGAAATTTTCTTACTTTTTAATTTCAATCATTGCAAATTAAAACTAAAAACATTAAGAAAGGCCTGTCTACCGAAACCCTACCAATATCTTCCCATCCTCAACCCGCAAATAACGATGCCAACGTTTTATATTCACAAAATTGTCAAGGTTTCCGTGAAACGGTAGCCGCCTACTACTCCTTCCGGTTCACAATAAAGGTTCAATTTGTTTTTTCATTTTGGTTTAAAATAAGTATCCGATTATGTAATCAAGAAAGAATTTAATTTGTTTTTACAAAATAACCCCTATGTATGTATCCCTAAAAAGTTTTCTTACTGTTCACATTAAATGTTTAATTAGGGGTAGTTTAGTCATAATAGGTATTTTTGTATAGAATTTAGTATTTTCTTAATGGGCGTGCTAAAATCAAATTGGACACTTATTGTGAACCGGGGGAGTATGAATTTTTGTTGAACTTGCTTCATATATCTGTCTGGCACTATCAATTTCTTGAAGTTTAGAGTTGCGATCATTTAGCGAATAAGCCAATCCCTGCGTGACGCAGAAAATCGAAGAGGAGATGACCAGGTTGCTGTCTAGAACTCTAAACGTGACAGAAGTTTACCGAAATTTAGGCATTTGGTTGAGCGTCATACTTAATCTATTCTCTAGTATTTAGATACTACTACTGATAATTCTCAGACTTTTGGTTCATTTTATTAAGTTTCAGGTTAGGGTTATTCATTTTTGATTTATGTTCTATTTTGTTCACTGGATTGAATTTCCAGTTAAATGCCATTAACAGGGTTGCAATCTTTTCTCTTATTTTCGTTCTATTCCATTCCTACCAACTGTTTGAGTGAATGCCTTAGAGGATTAGATTATTGACATTGTTTGGGTGTTCAATTTGTTCTTACTGTTGCAGAACCTTGAAATCCACTAACCACACATGGTATACTGATGCACTAGTCGATGCAAAAGGTAAATGAGTTACTAAATTATAGGGCTATCTTTTTCACTACTAAATTGCGTGATGCTATTTCCAACAGGATATGAACATACGGTTACTTATCTTCTGTTAAGAGTTGTTTGGTTGTGCTTGATGGTGACTCTAATCCAAACAACACGGCAGATTGGACTGGAAAAGAAGCTTGTGGATACTTGTTCGTGAGAGAAAAGGTAAAAGACCATTATGATTATGTGTTTGATAATTTAGATTGTAGATGGTGTAAGGTATCTTAAGATATCAGCTTTATTGACAATTCAAGTTGGATAAGGAACATTGCCATTAATGTTGGGACTGAAATTGATCTATATATCTAGGGGTGGCAAAATGGTTCAAAGAAAACAGTTAACCACCCATATTATCCACTAAAAAATGGGTTGGATAATGAACTGTTTAAAAACGGGTCAAATATGGATAAGAACCATATTATCCATTTAGAAAATGGATAACCAATGGGTCTAACTTTTACATTTGTAAAGCCTCAAATTGGGGGTTCCTCAAGTTAGAGAGACTAAGAATCTCCCAAAAGTGATCATATACAAGAAGTCATGGATAATATGGGTAACCCATATTAAATATGGGTTATCCGCCGGTTAACCCGTTTTTTATCCGTATTAAATATGGGTCGGGTCGGATAATTGATCCGTTTTTTCATTACTCGTTTTCAACCCGAACCATATCCGACTCCACCCGCCCGTTTGCCACTCCTATATATATCGTTCTGGCGAATTGAAGAGCAAAGAAGGATTTAGCAAGCCTTTACAATGATACTAGAGATTGTTAGTTCCTCTTCTGCACCACACTAATATTTTCATGTTATTTCTCTTTGCTTTAGCTTATAGAAAGCATTGTCCACCATTCTTGGGACATTGAAATTTGGAAGTTAGGAAAAGATTGCCAAAGATGTTTTGTCACCTAAACAGCTGGCTGAGAAGGGGATATCATCTGTCAAACACTTCCTACAGTTATATGTAATTCCATCTTTGTTAGTGGAATGATCTTTTGCATAGGCTTATAATGTCAAATTGATACATTGCTTTTGAGCTTCTAATGTTGAATTGGTTTTTATGTTTTCTTGTAGAAGGTAGCAGACGCATGACTTTATATATATTTTCAAAATATTGTACAAGGTACAATCACGTTGTTATTTTTGCTACTTAGTAGTAATTTCCTAATAAGTTTAGTGATGATTTTTTCCTTTTTTGATTTCAGTTCTTGGAATACTTTAAAAGAAAGCGAGAGCAACTAATGTAAAGGAATCGTTGACTCGGGGAAAACATGGAGACTATAGCTTTTTCATCAAAAGGACGAAATTAAAGCTATGGCCAACGTAGATTGTTTTGGACGTTTAACAACAATAACAATAACATATCTAGTATAATCCCATATAGTGGGGTCTGAGGAGAATAGTGTGTACACAGACCTTACCCGGGAGAGTAGTGTGGACGCTTAAGGGAAAGTTACTTAATTGTATGTTGAAGTAACTTATAGTTGGTTCAAATTGTTTGAAGTGTACTGGAAAGTGTTGAAATAAGAATGGATGTTATTGTGAATAAATTATTGTTAATTAACTATTTTCTTTAATATAAATGTCTTCCATTTAATCTTTAGCCATGACTGATATAGTTGTTTTCATATTCACATAATAGGTCAGAAACTATAAATAATTTAACGACATATATATATACACCCAAATTAGTGACATTGGATAAATGTCGTCACAAATGTCACAAATTATTTGCCGACATTAATCTAAATGTCGGGAAAAAAAATGACATTGAAATTTCTGATATTTGATATAAGTGTAAAATAAATGTCGGTAAATAATTTTGTGACATTTATGTTACTTACACCGACATTTATAAAATGTCGTCGTATGTCATATTTCTTGTAACGATGTGACCTATAGGTCACAAGTTCGAGCGGTGAAAGTAGCGACTAATGCTTGCATTAGTGTTAGCGATCTACATCACACCTCTTGAGGTGTGACCCGTTCCCAAACTCTGCGTGAATGCAAAATGACTTGTGCACCGAGCTTCCATTGATGAATTTTATAGTGTCATACTAGTTGATTCTAAGACATTGAAAAGAGGGAAGTCCATATTAGTTAGTTCCTATTTTGCAACTTTAAATATGAATACTTCTAAAGAATGAATACATTAGGGAGTAAGTTGTAGAAAATATGAGGATAAGGTGAAAATAAAAAAAGATTAGGGGTGCAGAATGCAAAAGGCCCAATAATGTATGATCACACAACATCAACCCAGTAACAATCTCACTAGTGTGGTCTGGGGAGGGTAGAGTATACGCCGACCTTACTCCTACCTCGGAGGGGTAGAGAGGATATTTCTGGGAGGCCCTCGGCGCAGAGACAAAAGATCTGTAGCAACAACAGAAACCGGATAAATAATATCAACACCGTAAGAGACAGCAAATAAGTGGAAGGATAATAATTATGATAACAATAAAATTGGAAAAAAAAAAAAAACTTGTAAATAAAAATAGCATAACGAACAAAAACCGCTAGCAGTCCTAGATAGGTGTTAGATTTAAAAATCTTCCAAACCAAATCTTCAAGTTGAATGAATGGTATAAGGATGTAAAAGTTAATTCTAATATAGATTATGGATCTATAATGGCATTTGCTCTCTTTTTGTAGAGTGAAAGAGATACATTTCTACAAGAGCTACTAAAGTATTATTTGTCATGGCTTTGCCTAAAATATTTATAAATATATATGACTTAATCATGATTAAATAATAAATATGTGAGTGAAAGATACAAATTTTACCCAGCAATAGGCGTGGGTAAATATATACGGACGTTGAATTGTGATGATAGTTGAGGAAATGGTCAAATTGGTCTCTAATTTAGAGGGGTTGGACTATGTTGGTCCTTGATATATGTACCATTTAATAGATATAATCCTTAATGTATATAAAAGTTTGACAATTTTAGTCTTAAACTCTAAAACTAACAATTCCAACCAAAACACTATTAAATTGATTTTTCATTTTTTTTCGTTCTCACGTGCATAAAAGAAAATGTATTCATACTCTTCACACCAGTGTCTAGTGGTGGCAGAATGGATAAAAAAATTGTTATCCATTCATATTATCCACTAAAAAACAGATTGGATAATGAACTTTTTAAAAATGGGTTAAATATGGATAAGATCCATATTATCCACTTAAAAATTGAGATACCAATGAATAACCAATGGGTTTAACTTTTATATTTGCACAAATTAGAGATTCCTCAAGTGTGGTAGACTAGGAATTCTCTCGATCATATTCAAGAAGTCATAGATAATATGGATATCTATATTATTCGCCGGTTAATCCATTTTCTATCCCTATTTAATATGGGCCGGGTTGGATAAATTATCTATTTTCGACCCGCCCATTCCGGCCCGATCTGCCCGTTTGTCACCCCTACCCGTAGGAGTGTTCATGGTTCGGTTTGAATTGGTTTTTCCCTGAAAAGAAACCAAACTAAGTAAGTCGGTTTTTCAAATATTAGAACCAAACCAAACCAATTAAGTCGGTTTTTCTCGATTCGGTTTCTCGGGTTTTATTGGTTTTCGGTTATTGTCGATTTTTTCTTAAAATATAATACATACACTACCAAACACATATTCCGGAGATCACATTCTCAACGTAACACTATCAAATCAATTGCCCTTTGAGAAATCTATTATTTACCAAGATATATTGATGATAATCGAATCAAATAGTGATGAATAATTTAAGGACTCAATTAAAAATATATTATTTTTAATACGAGATGGATTCTTACACTTAACAAAAGAAAACTACCAATCAAACTAGAATATAAAGGTAAAGAACTATACTAAAAGTGCAAACTATTAATATTTACCATTAAATTTTTGAAACTTTTTATAAAAATATACATATATATAGGTGTAATAATAAATTTAAAATAGCTACTCTATAGTCGGTTTGGTTCGGTTTTTTTTCGATTTTTTTCTGATTAAAACCAAAATCAAACCAAATTTGATCAGTTTTTAAAATTCAAAACCAAAACCAAACCAAGCCAAACCAAAAAGTATCGGTTTTTTTGGTCAGTTTGGTTTGGTTTTCGATTTGGTTCGGCTTTTCGGATTTTTATGAACACCCTACCTACCCGTGTCCAAGGGTAAAAACTAATAAATAGCAAAGTTCATGTAGTTAATTAATATTTCTTACAGTCTAGGTGTGCAACTAATAATTCTTATTAAATTTAGGGGCTTTTAGCTATTTTGCCTTTTTGTTGACGAGAGCCCCAACTTCTGAACCTAAAACCCCAACAAAGCCTTTTTGCTTCTCTCTGTAGCCCTTTTACAATCATGGCCACTTTCGCCGCCAGGTCCGTTCTCCGCTCCGCTACCACCTCCGGCCGAGCAGCCGCCGCCAGACTTGCCTCCGGCGCCAAGCCAAAGAGCTCTCCCTTTCGTATCCCAACTCAAAAACCCCTCACCGCTCGCATTTTCAGGTCACGCTAAATAAATCTATTTATTCTTAATTTAAAAAAATTCAATTCTCTCCAATTGTTTTTAGTATCTATTTTCCTGATAGATTTGATGTAATAAATTTGAAGGTCGCCTGTAGAAATGAGTAGTGTTAGAGTGGAATCGATGTTTCCTTATCACACTGCAACTGCCTCAGCATTACTCACTTCAATGCTCTCTGCTACTCCTCGGAGTTACGGTTGGACTCTTGAAGGTATAGTTACTTTGTGTTCGCTACAATTTATATGTGAGAATAATGCATCAATCTCCGTTTTATTTTCCTAATTGGAGCTGTATGATTGTGTTACCTATAAAAAAAACAATCTGAATGTTTGTTGTTGAATCGTGTTAGCCATCTGATAAGCTTAAGCTGTTAGAGTAGAGATAGGATATTTTTATTTTCTTAATTATGCCTTCGACACACCCTCTCATCTAAAAGCTTAAGTTGTTAGAGAAATCACACTTTTATTTACTTAACTATGCCGTCAACACTATTGTTTGGTTGTTGATGAATGTATGAAGAATTTTACAGCAGTAAATTATGTTTTCTCATATGCATGAATGATTGTGTAATACACATTTTCACTAGTTCTGAAATGCCAGTAAGCTGATATTTTAGCTTAGCCAATTGGCCTTTGAGTCAGCTGGTAATGGCTTTAAGTTGATTGCTTGAGAATTGAGACAGTTATTAACTATAGTGCAACACCTGCATTACTTTGAGCTTTGAACTTCAACAGGTTGTTGACCCCAACCTGAAGTCCTGAGAAATGGAAAAGGAAGTAATAAGGAAGAAAAAGGTTGAGGAACAATATATAAAATAGTAAAATTGAGTGGAGATGGATAGAGGGACGGGCCCATAACCCGTTGAGTTTCGAACCTTGCGCCACTAGCTCTCAAGAATTTCTCGGTTATCAAAAATATTTGCAAAATTGAAATATCGTGAGTGTTAACATTACAATTCAATGAATTATGTATTAAAGAACATAAAACTCTAGAAATCAATTACTTTGCTTTGCCATATTATTTATCCAAAAGGGACGTTATTCCTAGATGAAAATTAATTAGAAACATTTCTTCTAACTTCTGCAGTTTTGATGCTCCAGCCATAAGCTACTTTCTTCTATCTATGTTTCCTCTTTCTTCTCTAAAAGTAAAGGATGCATATTGTAGGACAAGAGAGGACTAGATGAAGATCTTGAACTTGAGTTCGAGTTATGCATATATCTTTTCACTCTGTTGGTTTTTAAGTAATTGATAACAGTTTTCTTTCTTAGGTTTGGTGAGGAACCTCCCGTCTGAGATATAACTAACTAAAAATGTAATTTTTTTAAAATTCTGTTGATTCAGCAAAGGAAAACCAATGTTAGCATATGTGGAAAGGATCATCAATGATTACACCGCCTCTCTTTTTCTTTCTCCACTGTCAATATACAGCTTAACTATCGCTTGGGTGTTAACATGCATAGCTAAACTTGTTCATGTGATATTTGGTTTTAATATAATGTGCCTTCAACTTCCATATTGTATGATTAATGCTGACACATAATTCATTCTTCTGACTCGAGTAAGGCAACAATGTTCTCTGCTTCATGATTTTCCCAGGAGTACGTTAGAGTTGGATTTTTCTAGAGACTGTTGTATTATAGGCTTGTCTCCGCTTGTTCTTTTTTTAGCATTCCAATCTACCAAGAAAACTTTATAGTGGTCAAGATTCTATTTATTAACTCCCAATGGAAACTTCTAATTGCTTGGCTTCAATTTCCTAAAGGAATTAAATATTATTCTCCTCTGAACATCATTGTATTATGTCATTATGCTGAAATCAGCATTTGATGTTATTTGCTGTGTTCATCTGATCATAGATTGAAATACATCAGATTTTGTGAATCATGCCGCTGTATTTTGATTTTGATGATTTAATTCCATTGATAAGACCAAGAAAATTGAGTCAGATTGACTGTGGGACCTAAATTTGTTTAGCATACATATGTTGCGTTTTCAGTTGTAGTTCTAAGGATGTAAGCTTAATTCTAATACTTGGCATTTAATCAGATTGCAATGATGATGCATGATGAATGTCAGAGAGTACAAGCAAAGTGAAATATCCATGCGGTGTAAGAACATGAGAAGTAGATAGTGACTGAGAACATGGGATCTTTTTCCTTTTCTGAACTTTAGTTTCTTTTGTCGTCTATTACCGATGGCGAAACTCTTTTCAAGAAAAAGCTGGAATTTGTCTGGAAAGCATTTTTATACTAGTGCTTAATCTATTGGCTTTGGTTGGTGTTAGAAAAAAGCAAGTTATTTTTAGTGTCTACCAGATTTTAAGTTACTTGGGACTATGCAGTTCTTAAAGTATCTACTGTCCTCGTATTGTTTGTTTATGCCAAGTTGCTTCTGGAAAATTCTGAGTATACCCCAGTAGAGTTTCACGGGAGCCGATGGATAATTAGAAGCATTCATGTTTTGAAATGTCATAGATTAGTTTTTAGACTAGCCTCAAGAATGAAACATGATGAAAACTACATAAATAGCAGTGTTCTTCTAGTATTCATGAGCTACTCAATTGTACACTTTAGTTTATTGTAACCTGATAAATCTCTTAGGAGATTGAACTTGAATACATGATAAGTGGCATTGAACTGATTAGATGTTCCCAGGAATCACAAATATCTTCTATATCCATTATTACCTACCTTCTAATGAGGGTGGAAAGAGGTTGTGGTTTAATTTGGTATTGTCCGAAACTCTACTCTTGTTCTCTTTTGGATTTTCAGTCCACCAGAGTTATAAATTTGTAATAAGAAGTTCTAGTACTAGGTAAAGTCCTAGTTTGTCTGATAGCAATAATCATCCAATAGGGCAAGTTAGCTTAAGATTTCAGCTTTTGCTGATAGTTGGAGTCTGTCTTCATTAGGTACTTTTTCAACCTGCTGAAATGCAAAGAACTTCTCCATCAATGACTTTTACGCGTTCGTTTAGCATGGTAGTTCTTAACCAAAATATTTTTACATCTTCAAAAGGTGTGGAGGTTTTTGATGATGTGTTTGTGGTGATTTGCAGTTTTTGTCTGATAATTAGATTGATCAGCAGGTACTGTTTGTTGCATGTTTGTGAATCATGTGGCTGTCATTGATTGCCTATGAGTTAGTAACTTAACTAGGCCCTGAGATAACTGAATCAGATTAGCATATAATTTTGCATTTCTCATTGTAGTTCTTCAAATTTAATAATGTTTAGGTATATTCTAATACTTGGTATTCAATCAGATTGCAATGATGATTTATGATGTCGGAGGGTTCAACCGAAGTATTATGTCCATGCAGTCTAAGAGAATGTCTGAAAACTAGAGTACTGTATGAGCTCCAAAAGAAGAAATATTTGGTTTCTTCCATCACTGACATTTGATTTTCATCCTAATCTTCTCGTTTGTTAGAGTGGGATTGTTTTCCCTTTCATTGAAATTTACTTCTTTTGAAGTATATGTTAAGTATTTACTTGTTGAGAATTCCTCTGAAGCTCATTGTGCATGTGCACCTCACTTTTTAAGTCAAGAATTATCCTCTAAGAACTTATTTGCATCATAATTCAGGTTAATTTTAAACATTTTTCAGTATAGTAGTTTGACGATGGCTTTTCCTTGTTTAGGGCTGTGATTACATGCTATTGGCTTCCTTTCGGCTTCAAGATTTTGATAACTGTTGCCAATTTTGTTACCATGTACTCTTTGACTTCAATAGGACTTGTGGAACAAAGTATTTAGAATCATGTTAAGGCCTTCGTTTTCTCCCTTTTTACCAACTTCTGATACATGTTTTATGGGTAACTTATTTATTTCTTTTGCCTGCCATAAGAGTTTCTTTCATTCTTGCATTGTAGATGGATGATTGTTGTGCGGTGCATGTCGTCGTAGTACAATGGATGTAGATGGACAATGTAACATTAACTCCCCAGAAATCTTCACTATTTTTGTATTTTGGAGCTAAATCTTTATCATTGTGTTCTTTGCCATTATAGAGTAGGAGTCATCACCATTTTATCCCCCTCTGGGAAAAGCTTTCATACGTGCAGAAGTTCGTTTTCAGGCTATCAAGTTTAAGTTGAACAGTCTATTAAGCATTTGAGTTAACTATCTGAATTATGTGGAGCTGTTAACTATCTATTTATCCGCGATGATGCTAATTAAAATTTCCTATTTTAGATGCTTTATATCACAGTTTAATAAGCATATGTAGTGACAGAGTATGCTGAATTGTTCAAATATCTCTCTTGCAGCTGAATCTTGTTTTTGTTTCGCTACTCCCAACATTATAGTGAGAGAGAAGACTTGGAGAGAAACCAAACGCTATTATGGTTTTAAGAATGCATCTAAAGGAAAAACTTGTAACTAATTTAAGGGCAGTTACAAATATGTCAAATTTGTATGTTACAGTGGTGTAGATATTTGCCATGGAAAAAGAATTTGCGGGAAGTCGGAAAAGGAGAGCACTCATCTTGGGGTGGGTTTACTACTTAGATGCTTTCAGCAGTTATCCGCTACGCAATTGCCTACCCAGTGTTTATCGTGGGCACGATAACTGGTATTCCAGAGGTGAGTCCTTCCCGGTCCTCTCGTACTAGGGAAAGATCTTCTCAATGCGCTAACGCCCACACCGGATAAGGATCGAACTGTCTCACGACGTTCTGAACCCAGCTCACGTACCGCTTTAATGGGCGAACATCCCAACCCTTGAAACATACTACAGACCCAGGTGGCGAAGAGTCAACATCGAGGTGCCAAACCTTCCCGTCGATGTGAGCTCTCAGAGAAGATCAACCTGTTATCCCTTGTAGTACATATACTAATGAGAATGAGCATGCATCATATTATATAGGTAGCTCTTATGCCCTAGGAAGCATCATCTGTACTAGAATTTGTAGAGGAAGCTCATTTTATATAGGAATAAGACCATATCATATAATCGTCAATTTATATAGGAAGCTCTTAAATAGCCTATATAACAAATTCTCATCATATTATATAGAAAGCATCATATATATGAAGCTCTTATGCCCTAAGAGCATAAGAGCTCAAATTGACAAGCGAATTTGTTAAATCATTCGTGCAAAATCTTTTCACCCTAATTTACTCTTCTTAGGTCCCATGAAAACCCTACTACATCTTTCCCTACCCTCGTGTAATTCTGACCCTCAGAATATTTAGAGGCGAAACTAGGATATAAATCAGTGGAAAGTATAATTTTATTATATAAAGAATAGTGCAACTACTTCTCCTGCCTTTGAGTTTCTATCTTGCTTAGCTATGTCAATGGACATGATAGATATACTTAATAGTAGAAATTCTGCCAATATGCTTAAAACCAATTCTTAATCAAAGTACTTCTCGTCGTTTCATTTTATGATATACTATTTTCTTATATCCAGTGAAATTCCCAGTTCCTTGTTATTACACTGTGTGTCATTCTCACCAGTAGTTAGGCATTATTCTTGTATTTACTTATTTCAATATCTTTTTTATTACATACTGTGTCACTTGCTTCCATTGTCATATTACTTTGTTGATGCTATTGTTTGTTTATCGCTTCCTTTTTCGTTCTTGAGCCGAGGGTCTACCGGAAACAACCTTTCTACCTTCGTAAGGTAGGGGTAAGGTCTGCGTACATACTACCATCCTCAGACCCCACATGTGAGATTTCATTGGGTTTGTTATGTTGTGTGTAGTCCATTCCAAAAGGTTCCAAAATGAATGATACGTTTTTGTATTTGAAAACAGTTTAACTTTAGACATCCTATTTTACTCTTATTTACAGGCTTTTATACTACAGAAATCTCACGATCAAACTTTATACACATTAAGATCACAAATTACTAGTCTTTTTTTCTTAAATTTTATGCTCAATAAAAACTACAACACAAATTAAAACAGGCTGAGTAGTAATTTTGGTAATGATACTCGTAAAGTTTGTTCCTAACTGTATTTGTCAGGTGTAGTAGTAGATATCACTGAAGATGGTTGGAGTTAAAACATACCCATGAGATTACCCTTAGGATTTGTTCGGCTGGAAAACAAGTTATCCCAGGATTAATTATCCCGAGATTGTTATCCCATCCTCCCATAGGAATGAAAATAACACTACAAACTACAATTTCGGGATAACTAATCTCGGAATTAATTATACCGTGATTTTCTAATCAAATATGAAATAAATTCATCTCAAATTTACTTTCGAGATTAATTATCCCGTATCCCTCGTACCAAACACACCTAAGCGTTGGGCACAAGAATGGGAAAACAAGTAAAATTGTCAATAAAAACCACACTGGACCTTGACTTTACTAGAGTCTGAACACAAATGTAGTGTTAGTTTGTGGGGCACGTAACTCATATTCTTTTCATTCTTGTGTGTGTCTCTCTCTATACACACCCACACCCACACCCACGTGTGAACTCTCATACTATTGTGAATGAGAAAGCTGAATGCCAAACTTCCATGCACATGAGTTTGAGCTACAAAACAAAAGGCTCTGTTTCGATAATATCCATATCCTCTGATTAATTCTAAATCATGAACAATGTAAAACACAATGCCTTTGACGTTCGGACAAGGCATCGATTGTCAGCGACTCAGCATAGTAGGGAAGAGCGCATTATTAATAGCCGGGGCGGAACTACAGTAGTGGGTGTGGGAGCAAATCCAATAATTTTATGTTAGAACTTTATATTTGTATTAAAAAATTCACGACTTAAGTAAAAATATGTCACGCCAAACCCAATAACAAAAGGCGTCTATTTTCAGTGGTAAGGGCCAAATGAGTAGAGATAGCACCACTACACCCTTCACAACTTTGTGACAAGGGTGTCAATTTAATACAAAATAATTACTTATAGAATATTTTAAATTACATACAAACACACACAAGATGTGAGTGTGTCCGCAGTTATTATTATAATATGTGGTCTAACGACCAATAAAATGGGTGAAACTAAGTGTTAGTGGGTGACGAGCGCAAAACACAACACAAAATTATTGCTCACTAGTCAAAGATAGCATAGTTTAATTATCGTCTCCATAGGGATTGAATTTAAATAATGTTCGAATAATCTTCACTTGATTACTATCTAGGAAAATTAACACTTGATTTGATGACTAATACTACGATTAACTACTAAAAATTAAGCAATTACCAATTGATTACAAAAGATAGCAGATGAGCAACGAAGAAATATCAATGAGAGAAATAAGGGTAATTGACTAGATAGGTGCAAGATAATTGACTCGGGATCCAATTGTTGAGTTAGTTCACTCTATAATACTGTTGATTCTCAAGAATTTAACAGATAATCAGATTACACTTGAAGTTAATGTTCCTATTTCAATTAAACGTTAAATTCAGTAACTAATCTAATTGAAGCACGGTAAACAATTACAACAATGAAATGATGGGTATGATCTAAAGGGTAACTTCTCACGAATATTTTCCTATTTTCTAGTTCGATTAACAATTAAGAGGCTCTTGCGATTACCTATTTGAATTAATCACGAATTTAAACTAGAGCATAAGATGTAAAGAAATTCA